TCATTCTGCAGCCACAGAAAGTAAGATATTACTAACTGAAGATCATAAGATGGAACAGTAACTGCGACACTGTGGGTCTGAACATGTTTTAAATCCCTCTAATATGAAAAAAGGAGTAGAAAGCATAAATAAAATTCTCAATTTTTTTAATCAAAGTGAGCAAATGTCAACTTGGGGACTGTAATCAGAGACACTAGAATTTCAAAGGAATATTTATTTCATTTGTTTCCTCATTTGTTTCCTGCACAAAATAATATTTAGGTTACAAAGGATCATCTTTCCAAAGAATCCAAGATGGTTATATATTAAAATATATTATCTTTTTATTTTCTTTTTTCAAAACCAGATACTGTCCTACTGAGTAATTTCATAGAATAATGGAGTCATTTAGGTTGGAAACGACCTTTAAGATCATCACGTCCAACCATTGTCCTAGCACTGACCAGTAGACCACTAAATCATGTCTCCAAGTATCCCTTCTACACAAGTATTTCCAGGGGCTGGGACTTGATCACTTTCCTGGGCAGCCTGTTCCAATGCTTGATCATCCTTTTGATGAAGAAACTTTCCTAACATCCAACCTATACCTCCCTGTGTGCAACTTGAGGCCATTTCCTCTTGTCCTACCTACTGGTACTCAGGAAAATAGACTGACCCACTTTCAGGGAGTTGTAGAAGGTCACTCCTAAGCCTCCTTTTCTCCACCTCAGCTCCTTCAGCCACTCCTCATAGGACCTGTGCTCCAGGACCTTCACCTTCTTCCTTCTCCTTCTCTGGGCATGCTCCAATGCCTCCATGTCTTTCTTGCAAACTAAATACTAGAGCCCAAAACTCAGCCAACCCATGATGAAAAACATTGTGAACACCAGTGTTGGAACCAGGTATTGATCTGCTGCCTCTTCCTATTTTTCCCCATCATTCCCTGAAATAGAGAACACTACTTGTGCAACTGATCCTTTAGCCAATTTTCCCCAGACCCTGAGGTGTCTCTTGACTGCCCTCAGACTTCTTGTTGGGAATTTCAGACTGCCACCTAAAAAATTAATAAAGGATGATAATCTGAAAGCCATAACAGGGTGGGAAGGTTTCTCTTCACATCTTTAAGCTGGACCCAGGAGGCAGAAGACTTCCCGAATAGGTGTGACCAATTTGCATGTTGGGACTTCTGTTCCCATCAGAAGAGTTTCCTATGACAAGGACCTGTCTTCTTGCTTTCTGGAAGAGGCTTTGACAGAGGGTGTGGTCTTACTTAACCCTGGCAACACCTCCACGCTAGATGAGCCCTCGCCCTCACTATTGTCCAGCTACTCTCACAGAGCCTCACCCCTGTTACGCAGGGCACCTGGGGAGGTGGGGCAGTCACACGGGTGATGCTCCTGCTGCACTGGGCAGGAATTTGTCCCCATTGCTCCCTGTCCTGTAAGTCACTGTGTTTAGTACAGTGAGGAGAGGGAATACTCCACATCTCATGGGCTGTTGGCTGTTGGGCCTGTCTCAGGGAAGACAGGATGAGATTCCAGGAGTCAGTCTGTCTGTCTGTCTATCATACTTCCTGATGCTCCTCAACCTGCTCACCACTCTCATCAACCTGCTCACTGCGTTCATTTAACTTTGAAATTTTATTAATGCAGTGTTCAATATTTTTCAACCAGCTACTTCAACTGGGTACCATTATAATTGTTTTGGAGCCCCACATAATTAAACGCTGATTCCCAAACAGCAGATGAGGCATCTGTCTATACACAGGACATAAAATTCACAGAAGTGTCAAAACTTCATGAAATCTTAAAAATTCAAAACATTTCTGTTGAAGAGATAATGAACTTTATAGATTCTAATGAAAAGAATGTAGATACAGACAAAGAAGGAGACTAAGATTTAGAACACCTCGTCCATGTTAATCCATGGATACAAACTCAGGACTACAGACTGGTGACTCACCCAGTCATCATACCCTTTTCTTAAAAGGTTGCAAGACTGGCTGCACAGCACTCATCTAGCACAAAAGTCTGTAGGTGTGGGTGTTTTGAGTTTGATAGTCCATTCAAGGATGGACTCTCATGTGTCTTGCTATGTGACCTAGGAGTCAGACCATTAGCACCCCACACTGTGCCATATGACTGGTGTCGAATAGAAAAAAACAGCACGGATTTCTTCCTAGGAAGGGCCTCAATATTGTTTACCAGAAGACAGGTAGATCTGCAAGAAATCTGAAAATCCTCCAGCTCAGGTTTTCAGTAAAAATGCTATGAGATGCTGGGTCTTGTGAATGCATTGGGCATCAGACCCTGCTGGGATGAGCCACCTCTGACTGGTCATAGATACAGCATGCAATGTTATTCTTATCTGTATGCCTGAATCCCAAAACACGCATTCCCATTGTCCCAGTGTTTAAATATTTGCAATTTTGTCAGATCCTGCAATTTTTGTTTGTTCCAACTGAAAGCTATTGCGTGTTAAAAGTACAATGCAAAAACGTCCTTTATTCCAAAGGATAAGTGGGTATCAACAGCATCATAAACTGCTGGAGAAAATGGACTCACTGAAGTCAATACTAAACTGAATACTCAGACTGATTGTGGAAAGATTTCATACTGTGCTGCACCAAGAAGTCAGACATAGCATAAGTCCCGAATTTCATAATCTACATGCTATTCCACTGCTCACAAACAACTGGTGAGATCATAGGGGTGATAAGGAGCGCATCAAAGGCATGGCCAAAGGGTGCACTGACCATGCTGAATTTTGTATTGAGAGTAGGCAGAAATCCTAAGCACTAAGTTTTCCTAGCTATAGCTGTACTCTGGTTATAAACTTGAGTTCTCTACCACCAATAACTGTTCCACATATATGCTGTATTATGTATCTTTGCCTTTTTCAATTATGAAAAAATTACAAGAAAATGAAAATTAGAAACAAAAGGTTACCAGTAAAAATTTCTAACATTTCAATTCCAACTACTTGCATCATTCTGATACAATGTAGCCTTCTGTTAATGATGCATCTGTCATTTTATTGACACCCCTAAACAGCTTTATTCTCTTTTCTAATTAAGAGACAAAGCTGATTATGTCAATCTATGAACTGGCATCTGAGTGCTTTTGTTAAAATGTAAGAAGCAATGAATATGACTATTGTTATGCTAAAACAAAAAACTTGGGAATTTTTACTGGAAAACCCAAGATAGCAAAATATATAATGGCTAAATTAGAACAGATTCTTCATATTCATGCAGATGCACATGTGATTGTATTACATAATTAAATGAAGATACTGTGTGAAAAATTAATTCCCAGTAATAGAAAACATAAAGCAACAGTGATACATAATATGCCTGACTAAAATATGTGAGGAGAAATCATCAGATCATAAAATATCAAACAAATAAATGACAGACTAAGCTATCAATCCTCAAGGAAAAATTAGGTTATTAAATAATCCAAAATGCTTGCATGTCAGGATATGATTTCAGCTCCATCCTGTTGCTAAATCAGAGATACCTACTCAGTAGGCTCTTTTAATGCAATACTGTGGATGGGATGAAATACTTACCATTGTAGGTAGATCTTTCTGTTTGGATTGTCACAAATAAGACTCTGGAACAATCTCCCATACATCAGCATGAATTGCTGCAATCTCTCCTAACCTAAAAAGGCCAGGGAGAAGACAGCAACAGGGAAATCCCACAGAGTCAGATGATCTTCAATTATTTGGGATGTTAGGAGTTTTCAGACTCAAAGATAACACAAAACAGTTTTCTCCTCAGTTTTGATTAAACGCAGTAGACAGAGGTTATGTGTCTCTTCTGGCAGCAGTAGATCTTCAAGACCACTACTGAAGTTGAGCTCCTGGCAGGAAAGCACTGAATCCTTTCCAAGGAAATCAACTGATTCCATGTTTGCAGTTCCTGCTGATGGTACTGGGTGTCCTGAGGACAGAGCTTAAAGTACCGCAGTCTGACACAGCTCTCCTGGCACCAGCTGAGCTAAAAGAATTTACACCCTGAAGATTTAGTCTTCAGCTGCTGACTGTGTCAACCAGTGTTCACATACATCCAACAAACATACATCTTTCCTCTTTTTCTTTAAAAATTTCCGTTCTAAATTATCAGGAAAAGCCAAGACATTGTAAGCTAAGACTTTACAAGTTATTGTATCAATGGCATTAACTTTAGTTATAGCTTCAGCGCTCCCTCACATGCACACCACACCTGTGGTTGCAAACTACCATTCTTCTACCATTTGCTCATCAAGGGATCATAGACTTTTGTCTCACATAAACTACAGGCAGTGAATAGAATGTCCATGTCTACTTTGACCTTCATGGAGGTTTAGTTCACAGGGCAAGGTAGTTCCTCACACTGCTGCTGAAATAGATCTGCAAGTATAAACTACAGCCTTTGCACTGTGCATGTACAGGTTAAGAGTATGTCTCCAGATAATTCATGGAGATGCCCATTACTTATAAGACCAATGGTCTTGCTCAGTACTTCAAAATATCACTTTACTTCTGTTGCACATCATGAAATACCCAGCTGATTGAAAACAAAATTTTGGGAATGGTTTTAAGGATTTATTAAAAGGGATCATAATTTTTCCTCTGCTGCAGGATCTCCTCTAACAGTGCACTCAATAACCTGTTGTGACTAATCAGTTTGGTAAATTTCCATTTTGACTACCCACTAGTAAAGCTGGGCTGTTCACTGTTTAGTGAGAGAAAGGGAAGGTTTCAGCCCTTTGGCTTGAAAAGGTCATCTTTTAAGAACATCATGGCTTTCTTTTAAGCCACAAATACTTTGCTCACATTTAAGTAGCAAGATTGAGATATTTACATAAGAGTTTGGAAACAAATTACACTCTCAATTTCAGCTTCCATCACATATAGGATCATTCAGAGGTGACTGACAACAGCATCAAATCATCCCAGCACAAAATGCAAATATCTGGAGTTAGGATTATTGATTGCTGTTATTTATTCTTAATATTATTTAGAATTTTCATCTTAAAATAACAAAAAAGGAAGTAAGTGGATTGACTCACAGCCCCATGTTTTCCCACAAACTGGGGGATGTTTTTAGTTTATAGGAGCAAGTAAATAAAACCCAAATTAAAATAATAGCTGGACTCAATGGTATAAATCCACATAGCAGTATTAACTTAAATACTGCTATTTCTAGGCCAGGTAGTACTTGGTAGAGATAATATCTCATTAACACTGATACACTAACAAAATTTACATTGGTGGTCACAGAATATGAACACCTGCACACGTGTAGGACTTACAAACCAGTCATTAACAGATGAGATTCCCAGGGAAAAGAGACTCTATATAATCTGAAGAGCTCTCAAAAAATGCCTTTGAAAATCAGATTAATAAAATCAAACCCTACCACTCCACCTGTTCATGGCCCAGCCACAAAATTCTTCTTGTCTGTGCTGGGATCAGTTCTGACTACAGCCAGCCACTGGACCTCTGCCAGCCATAGCAGAAGCACAGGTCTTCCAGCAGAACAGGCATCACAGCCACTTCTGTGCTTTTCCCTTTCTTGTCCCCAGACTCCCCCTCACCCCCCTCCCAACAGCTCCTCTGGATGGGCCAGAGGACATGGCCAAAGGAAGGGAAGTGCAGCCAAGACTTTGCTATGCCCCAGCAGCCCCTCTCTGCTGTTGCAGGGTCACTGGCAGCCAGAATGATTTAGAGCAGCCTTCAGGCTATTCTAACTTACAGTGAGGGACTTGACTGACTCATTGCTGCTCCAGGACTGTGGGAACATAAAGCTACCTTAAAGCCATTTCAGTCATCCCTCTTCTGAGCTGTGCTATTTTATCCTTGCCTGTGACTGAAAAAAAACCCTGAGAGTGCAGGTTGTTTACACATCTTGCAGCTGCAGCAAGTGGTCGTTTCCTTTGCCTTTCTTCTGCCTTTATTTGTTGGGGGTTTTTTATGTCTCTTTTGCCTATATAGACAGATCTGGTAGTGTTCATAGCCCTGCACTCCATCTGAGATGGTGATTTATGGCAGTCTCTGCTCTATTGATTGGTCTTCCAAAGCTGAGGCTCCCGTCAGCTGCAAGGCTGTGGGAAGGCATGCTGCGCTGGAGTTTGCTGTCTGCAAGCAGGACAAGCAACATTCTTGAGGTTCCCATGAGTGCCATGCCCATCAAGAATAATTTTGTAATTTCGCATCTTAATTTTTACAGAATCAAATGCTAGTGACAAACTCAATTGAAGAGACATCAACTGTTTCATTTCATTGCTTATCAGCTTTGCTTACATTTTAACTCTGATGGTACTTTGGATTAAATTTCTGCATCCATAATCTGCTTTGTTATGCACAGAAAATATCAAATTACATTTACTCTACTAATTCCTGTAGCACTCATGCACTTATATATACCTTCCATATTCTCTTTCTTTTTATATTTGCCATTTCAGTTTAATGCTCTTCATTGCAAATTTTCACACTTACCTCTTTGTCCTTTTCTTCTATAATACCTTTATTAAATTAAATCTTTTTATAAAAAAATACTTCCATTTTTTAATATTATTGCTTCTTCTCTATCACAATTTAGATTTAACATTTCATTGAGCAGACAGTTTTAATTTTCCATTTCTCCAACAGTTCTTTCATTAGACTATTTCTTAAGTATTTCATTTTATTTTTCTCTTCTGTAATTTGCTTTCAACCAGCCTAATGGACTTGTCTCTTTTGTAATTTGCTTTTATTCCCTGTTACTGTTCTTCTGACTTCTCTTTGTTGCTTCGCGCTGACAAGTGTTCTTCCTCATCCCTTGTGAGTGACAGTGACAGCATTTGAGTGGTAGCTGGCAGATTTAGGAACAGTAAGTATCTGTCTGAAAAGATTTTATTTGGTTTTATTTTTATTTTGACTGTAAAATCAGACCTCTCGAATCCTACAGCACCAGGGGGCATTGTTTCATTTAGAAAATAAAAACTGTCGTGATAGCTATTAACTTCCCAACAAGTCCACTGCAATACCAAACAGAGCCAAAGGAAAAAAAAAATGGAGCTATTAAGGCAAATGTAGTGACCAAGAAGGGTTACATGTCAAGTGTTTCAGTGCTTAAAAATGGGTATTATTCTGGAAAGCTGCTCTACAGTGAATCAGAAGTGTTGTACCCCTGACCTCAGGGCCTCTATGCCTCAATGTTCAACTATAGTATAGAGGAGGAAATAAGGAATTGGAAGTTACACTGACAGCTCCTGAGCAGAAACATTAATTTAACCAACAGTGGAAAATATTGACTGGGCTATCTAGAAGGAGCAGGCAGTGACAGACAAGGGAAATTACATATAAATGTAAAGAAAGTGCCTGAACTGCCATTAAAATGAATGGAAATGTAAAGCAACAGGAGAAAGTGGAATGTCCCACAGGTCCAGCAGCTACATTTTTGTGAAATAATTAATAGGCTGACTTTCATAACGAATTGCAGGGTAATAACAAACATAAGTGCAGCTTCACAGTTGACTAAACTCACAATAGCAACAGGCAACCCTATTACCACTACTGAAACAATCCTGTTTGCCAAAGAAAAAGAGAAAAACAAGGCAGCAAAACTCTCTATAATTATGAGGGAAATCATCTATGTAACAACTTAACTAATGCCCAGAAGCTGAATGACTCACAGCATTAAGAAAATTAGAAAGGGTGCTCAGTAGTATTATATAATTCAGGACACGTACATTAGAATACCACAATATTACCATGCCAGCAATAAATTTAGGCACTATGCAGTACAGGGCTCCAAACCCTGCAGATCACAAGCAAATGCTTAATTCAAACCACAGAGAAGAACTAAGTGTTTAGCTACACACAGATTATGCATCTACATGTCTAAAGATGGATTTTTGTTATTTGGATGAGATGCATTGTTTGTTTGTGAGGTTTTGTTTTGTTTTGTTTAGGGGGGGAGTTGTTATTAGTTTTAGTATTATTTTCATGTGATTTGATGTTTGTGTAGCTTCAAGAGCTCCTGCTCTAAGTGTGTTTATAAGGAAAATTACATGAAATGTAGCCCCCTCTGAATTGTCTGCTGCAGGTGACGACCTCCTAATGGAACTGATGGACAACACTCTCTGAAACATGAACTCTGCTCACACTGCTCAATCTTGCTACAGGTCTCAGCTCAAATCACCTTGACTCAAGCCCAGGGCCAGGCCACTTGCAGACCAGAAATATGAAGTAAGAACAAGCTTGATGTCATTTACCTAACCCAATAATTTCCAAATAAGTACATTTGGCTTAAAAATTACCCCATTTTTAATTTGGGCCCCATTCATACCAAGAAGACTCACAGGTGCCCTTGAGCAATACCTGCTAAAACCCACAGGAGCTCCTGCAAGTTCATATTTCTCCTAGGAAGATGCAGAACCCAGGAGATACTGTGTGTGCCCCAAGGTGAAGTCAGCTGGAAAGCAGCAGAAATCAGATCACAAGTTCAAATTTGTACAGCAAAGTTTTTATAGAATAACTATTTAATAAATCTCCATTCCTTTATGCTGTCTTCAGCTTCTGAGCCCCTGCTGCTCTGCATCCCAGCAACAGGGCACCACCTGGTACATAGTTCTGCTCTTCCAAACAGCATATTGATTGTCCATAAAAATGAGAATCACATGTCAGAACTTCATGGTTTGCTGTAGAGACTTCTAAAGATTGGAGAAATATATATCTATGCATATATAAATACAAATAAAACAACAACCAATACATCAAACACAAAAACTTCCTTTTATCCCTCTTTTATCCCTATCTCTAAATCTGTCAGGATTTAAAGGTTTTTTTTTTCCACTACTTGCAACAGATCCATTGTTGGTTTTTTTTTTTTTTGTTGTTAATAAAGCTCATGTTGACCCTTCTCCTTTATAATGAATAAACAAAAAAGCATACATTCATATTACAAATAACACATTATTACATACACCTATATTGAGCTAATTAAATTCCTGCCATTTCCTTACTATCAGTGCTGTATTTTACCTACTTGTACATTATTGTTTTACTGTGGCAACTCATATGACTTTAAATGCTCATTTTCTTGTTACATTATTAGCAACCTGTTGGTGTCTAAGTGAATACCAGATAAGTAATTTAATCTTAAGCTTCTACTGCCATCTGTAATATTAGGAAAATATTGTATGTAAATCATAACTATATACCAAATTGGTTAAGAGTTTACAGTCCTTCAAAAAAACATTCAGCAAAACATCTTGCAGTACCTCTGTATAATTTTTCATCTATACTACCAACAATATCTTTAATTTATTTTCTTGTACATTAGCATTTAAAAAATAAGTGTTTATATTTATTGTTTCCTTCACTGAGATTTGTTTTGGAAATCATATGGCTGAGTTTGAAATCCAACATTTACAATTAATAAAACTCCATGTTCTGTGAATGCTTACTTTTGGAGCTAATGTATTCAAAACACAGGTTAAAGCTTAAAAGCAGGTGGACATAGTATCATTAACCCATCATCTAGATACAAATCCACCTGTGAAATTAGGAAGCCTTTGGAAGCATTTTATATGCAAAGCCTTTGAATAGATTTATGGTAAGTCTTAACATTTCTATCTGAAACACCTTTTAGGATATTTAGAGAAAGATCTGTGAACAGATCTGCATTTTTAAGAAATGCTCTGAAATCTCAACCTAGGCAACTCTCAAGGGCTGCAGTTATGTTACATCTGTCGTGTGCTAGACTGCAATGATAAAAAGGATGTTATTGTTCATTTCAATTTAATGTGTGGATAATACTGTCCCTAGGCACCAAATTTCTACCAAGGAGGTTAGATTATTGTAATATCCACATCATTAATTGCATTATCAATTTTCTTACTTTTTAAACATTTGTTTTTGGTTAGAGAAGATTATTGTACTGCTTCAAAAAATGTCTTTACAATTAATTATCTTTCACTGCAGCAAGCAACAAGGAAACGGATATTAATCATATAAGACTTTCTCAAATTGCTGGGATTATCTCCTTTTTAATTACAGGTGGCACCAACAGTTTGTGCAAGAAATGTGGCAAAATACCTATCTAAAGCTTCTGTAATATGCTTTTTTTGCACTGAAATCAGTCTGCTTTCTTATTTACATAAAATATTCCAGTCTGCCTTGGAAAGGCTCTTCAGCCTTCAATACTATCTGTGGGAAGTTTCACCACAGAAAACAAACATCAGCCATCAGTTCAAATCTGCCTTGCAGCCAGCGAATCAGGGATGTCTTCATAGGGGCTTTAAACCAGTTGTGCTCCCAGACAACACTGAATAATGCCAGCATCTCATTTTCAAGATGTAACTGACACATTAAAGGCCCATGATCCTTAATTAGAAGCACTTATTGACTCAAAAATGAAGCTGATAATCCCACTAAAATGCCTGTTTTCTAACCACCAGAATATCCTTGGCCCACCAGAGACATGCTTGCACTGGCTCTCTTCACAGTGTGCCTGCAACACCCTGTCTCAACATCCCATCTCCACTGTGTGAGAGCACAGCAGACACTCCCAGCCAGCCAGCTGAGCTCAGCTGCCTGAGGTGAGTTCTGGGAGAGGGAAAAGGTAAAAGTAGAGGAAGAAGGCAGAACAGAATCAAGAACAAAACAGAAGAACTTTGAGCTGAAAAAGACAGGAACAGATTTGAAGTCACACAAAGACTTTAGAAGACAGAAAACAAGAGTAAGAAAAATGCTGAACTCCAGTGAACAAGGCAGCAGTATCTTAATCAAGTTGGTCCCTTGTAGATTTTTAAGAGCTGGCCTTTACCTAGAGCCTGGCAGGGCGCCCATGGAACTAACGGAGAAATTAAGTTTGAAGTGTTAACCATGCAGCAAAATCCATCAATGGAATGTTTAAAATTATAAAAATACTGCTCATAGGCCAGAAAACCCGAGTCTCTGATTCACAGAAAGTGCAAGAGGCAAAAGGCATGTGTTTTTGCATACTTCTCCTACCATGCACTCCTTGGCACACACCTGCTGCTGGCCCTAGAACCAACAAGAAATCCAGCTCTGGGAGCTGTCAGTCTCACCTTGACTATTTTTTCCTTTAAACATAAAATGACAAACACAAAATATTAATAAAACACATTTGGGGAGTAGAGGAAGGAAGCTAGAAGCAGACACAAGAGAATACAGTCTTCATTTGTATGTACTCCCAGACCAAGATTGTTCATTCTGTATTTATACATTATGTAAAATCTACTTGTGATAAGAAGATAGTAGATAAGAAAACACCAATAGATAAGAAAACACAAGCTAATATAAGCTTTTTTGCAACCAGTGAAGCAGAGGTCTCATCTTGCAGCCATGGTGCTGAAACTGTACTGCTTTCACGTGTGTGCTTACTTCACTGCTCACAGTGTGATTATTTCCACAAACTCATTCCTATCTAGCTTTTTACTTCATCAGTTCAAGTTTTGATTGAAGTTTTAACCCTATTTGAGCCTTACACATGGAATTTAATTTACCCAATTCTTCTCTTTCTTTCAGGTTTTTGAATTCCTGGACAGTTTCTGTGCAATTACTTATTTGTTCATCTTAAACCTAAGCAATTGTGGGTTATATAAAGACTCTTCTACCTAGTACCATCTTTTGGTTCAATTAGCACCAACATGGAGCCCTCCGACTGCTCAAATCTGCACCACCTCGAAGAACAACTCTCCACAACTCATCTCAGAAGGTACAGCAAGGTTTCTGTCATGCAAACCTGCATTATTTTTCTCAGAAAATGTCTGTCTCTCTCAGCATAGGCTGAACCTTCTGATTCTTGCAGGTGACACCATCTGCAGCTGTTCTAAAAAAGTTTATGAGGCAGAATTCCCACTGAACAGTCTTTGCTTTCTTATGTTATCTCCTTCAGCTATCTCCTGAGTCAAATCCTGTACATAAGGCTTGTTTTCACTAATTCAGATCTTCAACAATATGCATTTCTTCAAGCAGACAAAGAGAATAGATAAAATATTGCTACAAAGGAAAGGCGAGCTATAGGAGGAAGGATGATGGGGATTGAGCAACGTACAGTTAAAAGCAGTAAGGCTCATGAAAAGTGTATAGCTCATGCTGTCAAATGAACTTGAAAGATTATACAGAAAGAGAAATTACAAAGAAAGCATCTTAACATGAAGTATGAGATAGGTGAACTGTAGGACTGTGCAATGGATCCATTTCACAAGGCCACTCTAATAAAAAGCAAGATCCTGGTCAGAATTACTCTGAAGTATCTATCCAAAACAGTTTGTACACTATTAAATGTGCTAGCTGGAATTTAAATTCAAAGCCTACATCTCTTTCACAGTTACTATGGAAGCGCCTACCCTCTGTATATTTCAGATCTACAGTCTTAGACTTGGCCTTCTTTGCATATTAGATTATAACAAAATGTTGTCACTTCCCAAAAATATCTCTAAAGACTGACCTTTCCCTCCTTTCATACATCAAGAAATCTCATCAAGTGGCTGTGTCAACTTGCCCCTCACAGCCACTGGACATGGTTTACTAGGGGGTGCTTCTTCATTCTGAGTACCCCTGAGGTGGGATGTTCTGGTGGGAAGAAGGCCATACCTTCTTTTTAGATTTATTCTCTCCTCTGTGTTGGGTGCAAACTTAGCTTCTCCACTAATATTCTTTATGACTTTTCTGTATTCTTGTGGAAAACAGAGTTTTCAACTAAAGCTTCAATCTGCCAGCAGTACCATCCCTCACTGCTCAGGTGTCCCTTTCTTGTTACACACCAGCAGTTGAGAGGAGACTGCTCCATGCTCCCAAGGCCCAGGATGGTGATACCTCAGAGAACATTGGGGATACTCTCACTTGGGCCACTCCATAGATTCCATTTTATAAAGCTAGACAGAGCCCAACTAAGATCAGTCTGCTGCTGATTTCTACATAAGGTTATATTTTCTCGGCTGATAATGGTCAAAAATGTTAGTGACCTATTGGCTGTCATTAGCCAAGACAAAACTAATTTGCAGCTTATTTTTATCTAACAAATGAATATATATCCATAAACCCACCACCACAGAATGGAGGTGACCCTTCATGGCAGATGTACAGGACAACATCCTTTATGTGCACATTTAATAAGGCTCTCATGAAAAGACCTTCCTCTGCTGAACGTGATAGCTGTGAATAACTGATACCATGCAGTTCTGTGGAGTAACAAAGGACTCTGGGGCTGTCTGCATCATTTGTCACAAACTTTGGACATACATAAACAAAAATTAATTTCACATACCTATAATTGTATCTGTTCACATTACAATTGCATCTGTCCCTGGGTTACACATCAAAGAAAGTGTCTTTGCTGAGGATAGGACCATACAATTCTATAAGACGTAACCTAACATCTTTTCCATTATGGTGCAAACCAGACTTCATAACATTGATTGTTCTAACATTTTCAAAGACTACCAAATGTTTTTTTAAGCAACAGACCAAGGAAAAGAGAACTTGGTTATTCTTATCTAGAAAAAAGCAAAAAATTGCAAATTGTTTGGAAACAGTAGACCTAAAAATTCACTGGAAGTTAGTAAAAGGAAACATAGAAGCTATTATATTTCTATATCCCCAATGGCTATTTACAGGAGAAATATCTAAACACTTAAGAGCATATATAAACCTTTATGAAACAGGTAGCTCTTTGTAGGAGTACACAGGACATAGTAAAGGGAGTTAGATAACACGTTACTGAAAATAGACCAGAGCTAAATATGCCGGCTCTGCTCACTTTCCAAACTTTTTTTTTTTAAATGCTGACCAAGCTCAGCTAGGCAAGACCTGCTTAGTGCAGTCATTTTCACATTCGCACTGAACATATCAGCTCTGACAATATATTTTTTTAATCTCAACAGCAGAAAGTAATACATAATTGCCTCTAACTCAGCCAAGAAAAAAAAAAAAATCAAACTTAAGAAATTAAAAACACAGATGCAGTATTATACAAAATTGAACCAAATTTTACAATGGTCTGATGTTTCTGATATTTTTATCTTAACACATCAAGGGTGATAGAAGCTTCTTTTTGCTGTCAAAGTGATCAAAGAGAGGTTGAGAAGGAATCTATAAACAGATGCTGCCCAGTGACAAACCTTAAAGAACAAGACTGTGGGGCCAGATGTTTGAGTGACCTTCGGACTACAGAACATGTTGGCATGGTGTTGATTTAGATAGCTGTTGGCAGGGGCTTTCGATCCAGCAGCTGAAAAAAAAATCTAAATTATGGAAATATTTTTTTCTCATCTTTCCCCTAACTATAAAAACTGAAACTACTGGTCAGTGGGGCTGATGCCTGTCAAAGAAGTTGAATTCACCACACAACCCTGCCAGTAGGTATCACATCAAAAAGGAGTTAGCTGAATGAACAAGAACATCTTCAGGCTGTGCCATTTTGCATCCCCCTCAACTTTCAACAGCTGTTTCTTGAGTGAATACAGATGCAGAATAATTATATGAAATGTTTTACATTTTCAATATACTACATCATGTAAATATGTAATCTATGATTACCTATGGGTGATATAATATAAACCACCATTAAGAAAGGGTTTGGGATGTGGAACAGGAAATAGAATAATTAATCAATAATGATGATTTTCCTAAATTATGTTCTTCATACATGCTATATTTGTAGAATTAAAATGACATTGCTAAAAAATCCCCCCAAACCACAACAAAGTAACAACAACAAATGCAGTGATAATTGATCACATACATTTTTTGTCAAATACTAGAAGACACTGGAAATTATTATTACATGTAACTTCAGCTGTGCTGCAATTTTCTAGATCTGTCTCAGCAAGCGCTTCCATTTTTTAATCCGATTGAAGAAATTAGTCATGTACTAGGAAATACAAAAGGAAAAGAGAAAATCATCAATCCAAAATTCCAGCACTCAAGTCTGAGCCACTGCACATCACTAGAACAAATGGAGAAAGCAGAAAAAGTCTTGCTTTGTAACATTAAATGTGATTGAAGACTGTACAGTTCTTCTTACGCTTTTAGACGTTTTGTCACTTTACCTGGAGAAATATACACTGCTTATTCTGAATTGCTGCTGATGTCCAGCACTTGTCAAAACCGCTATCTGTCAAGCACTTCACAAAGTGTTGCAAAATGACAGATCAGGATGTCTGAATAGATGGAGCCCCAGGAAAAACAGAACAGATAGAAAATTCATGACTCTAAACTACATCAAAGCGACTTCTGTCAACATCATGTCAAAAGAAGGAAAAAAAGAACTGTTCATTTTAGAGGGTTTTTTTCATTATATAAACACTTTTTTCACGTATGAGCTAAGTGTAAGGAAAAATTAACTTGGTGTACAGTATGATCATTTGAATGTGCCAAAAATACTCTTTAAATAATCCAGGAATAAGGAAACTTCTAACAGTAGATACTGTCTGGCAGTTAAAACCAATGACATCCAAAAGAAATGTATGAAGAATCTATCAGCTTAAAATAGGACAAACCATCTGGCTCCAAAGAAATAAAAGTATTCTGCTATGCATGTTTGTTGGGTTCACAGAATCCTACAACTGGATTAATTTTGTATTTCCTCTCCAATCACTTGTGATCATCTCTACTTAGTCTGTCAATTGTACAACCCCAATTCACTGTTATATTGCAGGCAGCAGATTTAGCAATATCAAGACAATACTGTAATTTAAAAAAGGAGCACCATCAGCATAATCAGATCTCTCATTATAGAAAAATATTTTAAATCATTCCTCAAAGGTTCCAGAAAATAAGCAGGTTATGATACATGACTATATACATTTAAATTATGCATAATCAAATTTTGAGAATCACACGCAGAATATTAGGAGTACTGCAGAGCTAGAGATGCTTTCTGTCTCACATACCTTTCACCATAGGCCCTTGCCATCAGTACTAACTTCAGTGAAGGTTACTAACTATTGACCTCGAGAAATCAAGAGGCTAAATGACCCTGTACAATAGGCTCGGTGGCTTTTAGAGCACTGGGAAATACAAAGAACATACACTCATCAACTTGAGAAATGGAAAGTGGTGCTTCGTGCATGATCAAGTGAGCATTAGCAAAGTACAGAACTTGCAGCAAGTTTGGAAATCTGCATTGTCCTCCTTTACTGTCTCAGTTTCATCTTTGCTTGCAAGTTTGGTTTGTGGAAACGCATGGAATGGGATGGATTGGAAGGGACGTTTCAAAGGCTGTCTGGTCCAAGCCTCCATCCCAGGCAGGGACATCATTCTTCCATCCACTTTTTCAAAGGACCTATAAAGCTACTGCTGGCTCTGACATGAGTGACAGCTGATCCAGAAATTGAAACTTGCTCATTGACACAAATATGCTCCAATTTTCCTTGGAGAAGATGCCCTTTAACCACTGGCCAGCGAAGTTTTGCTAGCTTCAAAACATTTGCAAGATATAAATGAGCATGAAGAGGAATAGCACCTTCTGGTTCAGGAAGGTGCTTTAGGACATCTTGTTGAATGTGTACATGGCTGGGAATTGCGATCTATTAACACTGGAGTACAGTGGAAAGCACGTCTGCTGCTTACTGTATGCAGAACTCAATACATCTTGCTTCCTACTTACAAAAAGATGTTTATTACCTGTAACTGTACAGAGGTGTGTGCTTCACAGCAGCAGTGATTGGTAATAAGCCTCCTTTTCTCATTTACATTGATAGCAAGCATTAGTGAAGATATATGCATTTCATTTCATGGTTCAGAAAGAACAAAGTATATGTATATGTGATAGCAGTGGGTGGTTAATGAAATGGTCTGACAAACATAAGCTAATACATAATCATACCAGAATGTGGACTGCAACACCTGTTCCTGCTTCACAGGCTTACAATTCTTAAAGAAAAGTTACTATTTTCAAGAACTGAAATCACTACTATTTAGACATCAATATGCTCCGAGGAAATTTTAGTCATTTTTTTGCAAACACTAAAGGGGGGAATTTTAATGATATCAAATCTCTTTTGCTTGTGTCCTAAGAGTAATGAAAACTTCACACATGCATGAAGCTCCAGTAATTATTTTAAACTGCCTTCTGTTGTCCCCCTGAGGAACACGGTGGTATTTGTTTGATGCAGTTTAATTAGTGTCAGGGTAATTAATGCTATGCTATCTACATGAGATCAAACCCCTTTCTTTGTAACACTCTGGTAACTAAGAACTAAGAAAAGGAAGTGGTTTGAAAATGTGGAAGTTTGGTAGGCTAGATTCAGAAACAAATCAAATTGCTCAAATCTGCATTTATGTACCCAAAATATTAAACACATCCAGCCAAGTCAGAACTTACAAGTGTGAGAGTAGGATCATAATGCATTAGAATGGTGCTGTAAGACAGGAGACCCACTGCTACCCATGTAAGTGAAATGCTTTTTCTATGGATGTAATCAAATTAAGTGAAACATTCATGGACACCATGCACCTTGTAAGGAGTTTAAATCCTTTAATAATGAAATTATATACTTTTGCACAACCAGATCACCATAGTTATTTATAAGCAGCATGTGGTGCTACCATGTGCTGATATATTTTCCTAAATAAAAGCATCATTTGAGTTTAATGAATGAATGTGATTCTGCTTTAATGCCTGAATAAAATTTGCATTTAATTGAATGTTCAGCCTACACTTCAAAATAGTGTCCTATGCAAAAAGGACCAAGGAGGCACCAGAGTGCAGAAGTTGGAACATACAGAAATTCCAGACACACACACTGCACACACTACATAAATCCTTTTTAACTGTTTCTTTGGTAATAAGGAACTGCAGTATAAATCTCACAACACACAAACTCGGGGTGATTACAGGCTTAAGGATATAGCTCCAGTTATCTTGACTGAATAATTTGTTGTATCCTAGAGGTTGTTCTGTTTTTTCTAATAAAGAGAGGAATAAAAAGGGAAGGAAGGAGGGAAGGAGGGAAGGAGGGAAGGAGGGAAGGAGGGAAGGAGGGAAGGAGGGAAGGAGGGAAGGAGGGAAGGAGGGAAGGAGGGAAGGAAGGAAGGAAGGAAGGAAGGAAGGAAGGAAGGAAGGAAGGAAGGAAGGAAGGAAGGAAGGAAGGAAGGAAGGAAGGAAGGAAGGAAGGAAGGAAGGAAGGAAGGAAGGAAGGAAGGAAGGAAGGAAGGAAGGAAGGAAGGAAGGAAGGAAGGAAGGAAGGAAGGAAGGAAGGAAGGAAGGAAGGAGGGAGGGAGGGAGGGAGGGAGGGAGGGAGGGAGGGAGGAAGGGAGGGAAGGAAGGAGCTTCTGAATTTTTAAGAATAGAAAAAAAAAAGTTAGAGCCACACACATAGTCTGGAAAGCATATTTTATGCAATAATATGGAGTTTCTGTGGGGCTTCTTGCAGAAAAGAAAACACTGATTTGAAGACAAACAAAGTGGCTTGGTCTTTAACATGCATGTCCTGAGGGTGCAAACAATAAAAGCTCTGTTCAGAACTTGCAAATGTTCTACCAAAAAGCACAAGCAGTAGCCCTACAGCAGTCTGCAGATTGTGTTGGTATCCATTACCATTAAATTCATGTTTGTCTTTATCACAAGAGATTTCACCAGCTAATGATGGTGGCACAGCAGGGTCTGAGGGTCTGTGCAACACGCTGCTTTTGAGGTCATCCATGACCCAACATACCCACGTATCAGCTGATCAGCAAAATATACCCCTTCCTCTTTTGAATCCTGCTTCCTGCAACTTGGTTGTTTATCAATTAAAGCCATAAATACAAATTACTTTAATAAGGCAGGCGACATAGTAAAGCAACCTACTGAAAGTTTGCCATAAGAAGCACATGCAAAGTTCAACAACTGTGAAAGAACTATTAAAAAGGACACACAAACAAGTGACCTTGACTGACAAGCGCACTTCATCCCAGCAATAAACAGCGGTGGGGCTGATAAGTGTTCATTGGCGCAGAGAGTAATTACCTATCTGTCAGCGTTGCTGGTGTGTGCGAAATAGTATAAATGAAACATACATAATGTACAGCAATAATATCGGGCATGCAGAACCTAATGCATTATCATCATTCTCAGGGCTCAGGTTTATGTGGCTGCCACCACTGAGTAAATGCCTTCTAGCCATGATAATTTCATTCTAATCTCTGTTCCATATTATAATTTTCATAGCTAAAAGATACTGAGGAGCAATACGTTTCAATCAAGGGCTAAATAGAACACAACCTGTAACTGGGTATTTTATACACCTATATATATTTTTTTCTTTCAAAAAAAAATTTAGTCAATTTATGAATAGACTGAAATAAGCTGTAAATTTATGGATGACAAACTCTGTCTGTAGCAATGTCACAATGTCTGGAGACAGGCTTTACATATCCTCTACAAGGGATGCCAGCTTTGTCTATCATATCTCACAAAAGAATCCGACCCTCTGGAAGAATAAAGGTTTCCATACCATTTCCTAGAACGTTATAAAACAAGGTTAACACTTAAATGAATGAAAAAGGGTCCTATTGAGTTACAAATAATAATAAAACAAGCTGTTAAACAATTTATGCTATTATTTTAAATGTTGTTTAAAAATTTCATTTTATTCCATAACCTCCACAGCTAAACCACAACTGTGATGCACAAATACTCCTGCTTCCTCCTAAATATCTATTTTACAATAAAGCTTGCATGTATTTTGAAATTATTTGGGGGATCCTTATGAAGAAAAAGCACAGTGATTTAAAGGTATGCTCAATTCCTTCCCTCCTCTCCCCTCCCCATCTCATGAGGAAAAGGGACAGAGAACATCACTCACTGCTTTATCAAAATCCATTTGACTGCATGTTAGTACTGGGGGAAAAGTGCAGTGAAAAATGAACTGGAGCCCCTGTGGCACCAGCTGGAGCCTGTGTGGCACCAGTGGCCCTACCCTTACAAACTGTTGCACTGCCAGCCTCCTTCCCATACTTCCTAAAGCCAGAGGGATGCACACACCTGACACTCCATGCTCAAGAAGCCTCAAAATGGGGCTCAAGCTGAGTAGTGTGCTCCATTTAGCTGCATCCCAGGGGGCAAAATGGTGCTCCTGGGGAGCACTTTAGGGTGAGGGTGACTCCCCAGGGCAGAGGTGGGGTGCTGGGAGCAACCCTGTGCAGGCTAGAGGAGAGGGACGGAGATGGGTGCTCAAGTCAGGGGCAGACCCCAGGGTCGCACCATGGCCCCCATCCCAGTGGGCTCTCACCCCACCTCTGAAGGGATTTCCACACATCTACTCTTGCCCTGGCCAGCCCCCACATGTGCTGGTACTCACTACACCAACACCCGTCCTCATTAGATAAGCGATGCATGTCTGGGAAGACAGACAAATGTGAGAGCTCAAAGATTAAAACGAGCAGGGGTGGGAGGTTTATGCAAACCTTCATTTCAATTTCCATTAGCAGCCCGTCTCATCATTTGCTTTTTTGACCTTCCACCTGTGAGAAACTCAACTCTGCTGAGGCTCACCCAGACCCAGCCCTGGTTTGCCAAGCCTTCCAGCAGTGTCCATAGTGGCAGGCAGAGCCTCTTTTGGAAAGCAGCCACCTTCAGCATCAGATTTCATGAGCAACCTCTTTGACAAACACTGATGAAGCTTCAAGTGGTACAGAAATCTGAAAGCCACAATGTTTTGCCTAGATGGGAGCTTCACTAGAGAAATTTCACATGGTTCTAAATATAACTCAACAGCAGTATTTATTTTATTTAAATGTCTCAGAACATTGCATTTGACAGAAGACAACAGACTGGAAAATTGCTTATACAAAATGCAAGAGGTAGTTGCAGTATTTTCTGGCATGTGGTATTGCTTTGCACTTCGCTGACATCCGTATGGCTGCAGCCACCCCTCACCTTGTCCCATCACCCTCTCACTCTCTGCTTTCTGACATGAGTCTTTCGACCATCATATTTCAATATCCAGGACCCAGGAGATCAGCAGACATGGGGCAGCATTTGGGCTGCTGAAAGTTGTATTTTTACCATATGCTGATGGCCCAAAGTCAGGAGGGGTGAAACCCTCTACCGAAATCAGTGTTTGATCCAAGGATGGACTTATCAGAAATATATCATGAACTCAGACCATAAACATAAGGCTGGTGATCTGCCTTATAAATTTAACAACATGTTACCAATACAGAAATATTACACATTTCTTGTGAAGTCAAAAACAAAACCAAAAAAGGTCTAAAGCAGCTTTCCGTGTCCACTGTACACTAATAAAGTCATGGCTCAAAACACTGCTCCTCCTGGATTTACAATCAGGATGAGATTTAGAAAAAGAAGAATTTAGAAACAAAGGAATTTTTTTCTGTCTGTTTGCAACAAAATAATACAGTTTCTTGGAGAGGGAGAGAAAATAATTATGGGGAAAATTTTTTCTCTAAGAAATGAGGTGAAAATGAAAATGTTTTTTAACCTAGCTCAGCATGCTGAAGTGAGCAAAATAAACCTGGAGCTCCTCTGTCCCACTTTCCCATCTGCAAAGCCAAAACAGCATCCTAACTGGAATACAAACCCCCCTTTGCAATGCTCGCTGACATCCAGACGGTATACAAAATTTAGTGCCTTGCTCCTGAGTACTGCTTGCAGGTGCAATAAAAAGGAAATACAGCATGGTTACAGGCAGACAGAGGCAGGGTCTCCAGGAGCCACCACCCCAGCAGAGCACTCTTCTTTGCAGATTGTGTATCAACCCTGTGAGCGGTCAAATCAGTCAGAAAGCAAAACCACCCAGGGCTCAATATACTCTGACCCAGGCTGCTGCAGTCTCTCTCCCCTTGACTGTCCTGCACGCCTCCCTTGTTTCTTTTTGAATCCTGCTAGATAGGGCACTGTTCAAACGTGATGTGCATACCCCTGTAGTAGCTGGTGTCTAAAGGATAAAAGGAAAAGGCTTATTACGCTTTCAGCTAAAGTTGTTAATCCCCTAACAAGCTGAAACAGCATGTGCCGTGGTACCGGAGGCTGGGGTTGGAAGGGCGATCATCACCTACACGGGAAGTTGTTGCTACAATGGCAAGCAGCATGCTTCCTTTGGGTCCTCTGAGATACAAGGGAAACAAATAAACCCAAGAAATGACAGTTTAAATCTCAAATTAAAGACACCTTGTTTTATCTAGTATAAAATTGGGAAGTATCAGAATTAAAGACATCCAGTGTTAGTGCATCCTTTTCACTTTGTTTTTAAGTTAGGATCCTGCCATCACCTGTAGGCTTGTTTTCTTCTTCCACAGCCTCAGTGTATCATAGTAATAGATATTTTTCAGGGAGCAAATTAAGACTATGCAGTAAATGAGAGTGTTTTCAGCAAGGGTCCTGCCTCTAAATGGTTCTCAGGGTCAGAAATTTTCCAGCAACTGAGAGCTAAAAGAAATTGTGTTAGGGAACTGGAGAGAAGCATGGTGTGGTCAAAGGAAATGAATGGCACACCAAAAACACCTGCACTTCACGCTCTCCCAGAATTATTATGTCATTTGTGGCAATGCTATTAAATTAAAATGTTGGCAGACATCTTAACAAATGTCTCATGCACTGGATGCAGAGTTTGTGACACCTGGAGTTTGAACTTAAGGAGGCTTAAGGCA